AGAGAGAGAGAGAGAGAGAGAGAGAGAGAGAGAGAGAGAGAGAGAGAGAGAGAGAGAGAGAGAGAGCAGTTGTGTGGGTGTGGGATAAGGTTCTTGTTGTTGTTCTTTTATTTTCCTCTGCCATTTGTATAATTTTGGATCCGGATATGGTCGATTTTATCGCGACCTTCCTCTTGGACTTCTTTTGTAAATCGTCTCGGATTTTCCTTGTCGTTTTTATTTTGCGTGTATGGAATGAATGTGAATTCCCCTTTATTAGCGATCTTTTTGGATTTTCAATCTTGTTTTTTTTTATGTCCGTTCCAACTCTGTCTATTGCCCACGGTCAGATATAATCAAAAGTGCTCAATTATGGATGTTTTGGTTTAGTCACTAACTTTCAAAGAGTGTTAATCATTTCTTTTCTTTCTTCCTTTTTGTCACATGTATGATATGTAATGATCGAATCTCACCCGACGCCGCAGGGATAGGATATTTGCATGCATGTTGAACACGATCGCTGAACCAACCCGTTGTTTGTCACGTACACAATCGAGTACGACCGCGACCTCGATGAAACCGATTCGTTACGTACGCGCTCGCCCGTGTGAGTCAGCCTGGAACTCCGTATGAGGATGCAGGGGACCAAGCTTTCTAAACGGATATGGCTGCAAAATTTCCCGCTTGGATGTCCGATCGTGAGAGTCTGAGGGACCCAAAATACCGCGAATATTGGGAAGGTGAACAACTCAGACGGCGGGGGAACTTAAGAAACCCGGAATTCCCTTGTCTGACAGAAAGCGATCGATTGTGTGCGAGGGACTTTAACTGTGTCATAACTAACGATCCTAGGGGTTCTGATTACCCAGATACTTACAACACGCAGTATTTCATATCCCCCGGTTTCGTCGTTATTACTACCAGTTTCCCTCCCTTCCACCTCCTCCTTCCATATCAACAACTCACAGTGGTGCCGTGGAATTCCATAGCCCGCTATTGGCCCCGCACACCGTGCGGAAAGTGTTGGCGGCACCAGGCCTATCGAGCCTCGGAATTCGCTCGGCAAGCCCGAACCGAAGCCGAGGAGTGCCGACAACTGATCGAGCTGCACAACCGGCCACGAAGGCAAAACCAGAGGAGATGGTTATTCCCATTTTTTTCAGGCTTGAAAGTTAAATTCGTTAATAGTGGCAATGTTGTTAGGATTTTGTTCGAGAATGCACGAGTGTTTAGATCTATCGGTACGGTGATCGTGGAAAAGTGCCCTGGATCTTTAGGCTGAGATGCACTGCGCATGCCATCTGCCTTATGCTGCACGACATCAGCAGCTTCCCTTCTGAGCACACCCTCTTTGCGCCTATACCCCTGAAACTTGCCACAAGAGATCTCAATTCTGACATGGGACTCCACCCCCACTTTCCTAAAATCATTAGCACACCCCTTTTCGCACTTCCGGGCCCCTATCCCACTCTGATCAGGAAGTCGCGCTGGGCGTGAGGTTGGGCGTTCTGTTCCTTTGACTGACTCTCATTTCCTGCAGGCCCTCCGTTGTGTATAATGTTTTGTCCTGAATCAACTTTAGCGGTCCCTTATTCAACCCTGTCCTTTGAAGTTGCCATTCCTCAGTCTTCCAACCCTGATCCAACCGCGGACCCGTGATTTTCCAAAACACATCCGGGCGTTCGTCCGAGGCAACCCAAGTTCCTACCACGTGTTCCGTGTTTGCCTTGAGGTTCACCGCCCATTCGCTAGGAAGAGCATTCAACATTTTCTCCCTCTTGCCTGCTACATGTCGCAGGCGTGGCATTTTAGATTTCAAAAACTCATACGAAACCCAATCTTCTTTCATCCCACAAATGTTTTACTCTTGTGATCCCCTTCTCTATCCAAGCCCGCCCAAGGTTTCCAGATCCATCTGTGGCTATGAAAGGGTTACCATCTCCATCACAAATCAGGCGATTATCAAATAAACTGAGGTTCGCTATTTCGATCTTCGTTACGGGAGGAGCATCCAACTGAGGACATATCTTTTTCCAAGCATATAATATGCCCTTCCACACTCTAGACTTCACTCGGCGGTTCAGGAAGCTAGGTAACATACAACATTGCCAGACTTCCCGGGACTGCTGCAGGTCCCATTCCTTACAAAGTATGTACTCGGCTAGACGGACCCATATCTTTGTAGGCTCTTCAAAACATGCTTTAGTTATCCATTTTGCTAACAAGGCCCAGTTCTGAATCTGGGGGTCAAGGATTCCCAGGCCACCTTGTGAACGTGGCCTAGTTATGGCTTCCCAGGGTACCTTATGCACAAAGCCTTGGTCATCTGCTGCCCCCGGTTTCCACAAATATCTGGCAGTGTCCCGCTTTATTTCCTTTTATGCCTCCACTCCCAAGAGGTGGACCGACAGTGGGAACCACAGTAACGAGAGTGCTCGACCACTCTCCAGTATACAAATGGGCCTCGCTCCAGTACTTTCGAAATGTGCAAAATGAGACCGAATGCTGCGTGAAAACCTAGAAAGATACATTGCCATATTTTGTCTTTTCTGCATGTCGAGAGTAGTGGAGCAAGGCCCAATTTGAGAAAGACAAAAAGAAAAAGAAAAAAAAGAAAAGAAAGACAAAATAATGGCGGGTGCATCTTTCCACCTTAGAGCTCAAGATACACGCGCAATTTACACTTTTGGCGGGTGGTGCCGCGAGGGCCGATGTTCGCGGGGTGGGTATGGGCCTCGCTGCACTACTCTCGCCATGCACAAAAGACAAAAATCTTGGCGGTGTATCTTTCCATATTCTAGCGGAAGATTCGCTCCCGTTTTGCACATTTCGAGTTCCAGAGTAGCCGCGAGGCCCTATGTCAACAAGGGTAGAAGAGAATCCCGGTGCCAGCGCACTGGTGCACGGCGCAAGCTGGCTGCCGTATGTTGCTGAGTAGTGCCCTCGCTGCACTACTCTCCAACTCCAAATATGCAAAATGAGAATGAATCTTCCTCTAGAACATGGCACTATACGTCGACATACTTCTTGTCTTTTGTGTATGTGGAGACTACCGGTAGTGAGCTACTGTCGGTGACCGTAACGCTTGCCTGCCCGCCTGGTCATCGCGTCGCAGGCGCGCTACTGTCTTTTGTGCAGGCGGGCATTTCATTCAAATCGATTTCATCCATTTAGGCATGATAGTGCCACGTGTCCCTGACTGTCCGATGTTGGCGGGGTTGCTGTGCGCTGCAGCCAATTAGCGGTTGGTGTGCGCCACACCAGTGTCGAAATGTGGAAAAGACAAAATGTGGCGGGCGAATCTGGCCATGTTCTAGCAGGAAGTTCATTCTCATTTTGCACATTACGAGAGTGGTGGCGATGCCCTTGGGCAAAATTTTCGAAGGCCGCGAGCTGCGGCCATTCGCCCTACGGACAGAGGTCGCCCGCGTGCGGCAAAATTTTCGAAGGCGAAAATTCGACGTACGAGGGGCAGGCAGTGGCGGGAGAGGTCGCCCGCGTGCGTGCATGCATGCCGCTCACCTCTGTTCTCGCTCTCGGTAGTCTCCCGCGTCTCGTCTCGTCTCGTCTCTCTCTCTCTCTCACGTCTGTAGTGGCGGGAGGTTGGTGGCAGGGGCAAGTGCGTAGTATGTTTTTTGTCCTGAGGCTGCGCGCGTGCATACTTGAGCACCGCCTCCAGCCATGAGCACCGCCTCCACGTGGCTGTAGGCGGGGTGAATTATAGGGTGAGCTGTTTCTGCTTGTCGTAATTCCAGGCGGTGTGGGGATCGCTGCCATCGTGAGCGAAGGTTGGTAGTACCTCCAGCTACGGGCGGTAGGCAGGGCACACAGAGAGAGAGAGAGAGAGAGAGAGAGAGAGAGAGAGAGAGAGAGAGAGAGAGAGAGAGAGAGAGAGAGCCGGTGCTCTCGGGATCGCTGCCATCGCTTTTGCGCGCCATAGCTTATGTGGCTCTGCGCGCGGGTGGGTGGCTGACCTCGAGAGAGTTTCTGGAAGCTGCCGGTCGTTGAAGGCGCACGGGAAGAACGCTGCTGCGGCGAGTGATCAGGAAGAACGCTGCTTTCGTGTCTGTGGAAAAAAGCACTCACGGGTGCCTCGGCGTCTACCTCCTTCTCTCGTTTGGTTTCGGTCCTGTCAGCGAAGGCAGCGAACATGGTATATACTATTCCTAAATCGTAGATCGACATCACTACCCTTCTCTAACGTCCTCCTTAACCTTGTACCAGAGAGGCTTGTTCGGTTAGGTGCTTCTCTCAAGTCAAGTCCTACTCTCTGTGTGTGTGTGTGTGTGTGTGTGTGTGTGTG